GGCCGCCCGGCCCCCGCCGCCACCCGGGGCCGCCATCACGGGGCGGCGGGGCCGGAGGACGGCGGCGGGCCCTCCGGGGGCGGGTGTGCCTGCGGAGCGCTGCCCGGGGCAGGGGAGAGGGGTTTATGGCGATGTAAACGCGGCCGCGGGAGCATAGGCGGATCTCTCTGCTCGGCACGTTTTGTCCCTGCTGTGTCCGGTTTCGTGATGGGGTCTCGGTTTCCCCGTCGGTGCCTAGGGGAGGCGGCGTTTCAATGTGCGTGTCGTCGGTTCGGTGCCAGGGCAGGGCTCGGTCCCGTTGGTGCCTTGGCCAGGGCCTTGCCTTTTGGCTGTTCCCCAAGGACAGAGATTCAGTAGTCTCAATGGGCATTTTTATATTTTTTTTCCCCACATTTCAAAAAGGACCCTTCCTTATGCACTATTCATATGAGAATATATAAAGAACCCATAAACCCTGTACAGCTTGTTGGTAGGTGTGTTTGACACAGGAGGACCAGCCAGCCCAGTGGAAGGGGCAGCAGCTCCGGCTGGGGTGGGCTGGGGTGGACAGGTCCTAAAGGGACAGAAAACTGTCGCTGGGCTGAGCTCAGGAGGTACATACCCACTGATCGGAACACACCTCGCACCTTACTTTGGCTCCTGCTAAATGACACACCACCTATAACAATATGTTAATGCATGAGGCTGGCACAGACAGCCAAAGCATTCAGGTCATCAAAAATGTAAGTGGTTAAAGCAGGTTTTCTCCCTGGAGTTGTAAATGTGTTTTCATGACAGCTTTATTCTTCCAAGTCCTGTGAGATTTTCGTGCTGAACACTGTGTCTTCAGAATAGCAGCTCTGAGCTATGGGACGTCATCAAACGTACTGACTGACAACACTAACCCAATGTACTTGGTGGTAACCTCTGCGCAAGGCTGGCAAAATTCAGCTTTTTCTAGCTTTCCTGCCAAGCGGCTGAGTTCTTTGACAAAGAGTTCACTTATGTCAGCTGTCCCTTCCAGTTCCAGTCAATTGGTTTGCAAGCAGAGCATGAGGATTTCTGGCTGACTCTTTGGATATACAGGCTGAGCATGATCCTTGCACAGCCTGGAGAGCTTTTTCAGAGAGAGCTGTGGCAAAGGCAAGATAGTATCTCACAACCCCTGCATGTAAATTTGGTGCCAGAATTTGACCTGTAGCATTTTTCTAAAATAATGTCACTGATGGTGAAAAGTCTTTGCTCATGCATTACCTGCTCTCACCTCCCTAGTGAATCTGTGAGGCACAAATCCAGTTCTTTTGTTTTATTTTTGTGTTATGCTTACATGTATTATGACCCATTATTATTAATATTTACACAATATGTTTAAAATATTTGGCTTATTTGTGTTCTTTGTGAATTACAATGGTGTGCTTTCAGTCAGCCCAGCTGGTTCTCCAAAACGTGACGACAATACATCTCTTATGGCTGAACCCTTACGAGTAAATTCTTGGCTGAGCTAAGTTGACTTCAGTGGAGCGATGCTGCTCACCCAGCTGAGGATCTCAGCTTTAAAACAGAATAGGAGACAATGGTCTGTAGATGAGACTGATCTAGTTCTTCTTGCAGAAATATTTCTTTAAAGGGTAAAATCACTTTTGCAGCGATTTTATCAGATTTCTGTCTCACTTTTAGATCACATTCATGCTCTGGAATAGGGCTCACGTGAGACTGAAAGAGCTTGCGGCTCTTGCTTCTGAAGAGATGGCTTTGACCCAGTATGAAAAGGGAGGAGTTGTGAGTTGAAGGTTGATGTTTAACATGCAGCAGGGACACGTGACTGTAAATGATCCTGTGAGATTATATGATCTCGTAAGGAGCCTTGTTTGTGCAAAAGAACTGAAGTGATCACAGCGCAGTGTTGCCTATTGTTTTACTGTAAACGTTTTGCATTATATGGTTGTCTACATGGCATCAGAGTTGTACGTTGGCCAGTGCTGGCTGGCCACTCCCTCCTCCCCTCAGCACTCCCATGGAAAAAGAGATTTATCTCACAAGGCTACTCCAGGGACCAAAACTTTCAAACAAGACATTACTATGTGACCTTTTTTCTTGGTAAATAAGGAGTGGTGAGTACTAAGAAAGCACAAACAGTTCTGAAAGGACACTTTACTTTCTATTTTCCTGTATGTTTATGTAAGTGTTATTATTTATCACTTGTATGACCGTGTATTGCCCTTAGGTTAGGAACAGAAGCTAAACTTTGAACCCAAATCTTTTGTTATCCGCATCACTAAATATTGTGGCCATAGTCTGGGGTGAGTTCAGCCACAGCAGGGACTAACTTCCTAGAGCTCTACCCCAACAGTGGGAGAGCAACTGCTTCGGGGCAGCTGGTTCCGGGAACATGAACCCAAGCTTGAGCACAGCTACCAAAGGCAGCCTAGAAACAGCACGATCCAGTCCCACACATGGATCAGGGACCTGAATACTAACTGAATGAAAATAGAGGGTTACTATTCTAGGGCAATGAGGGGGAGTTTCAAAAGTGCCCACAACTTGACCCACATGCTTAGTACTTCTTAGGTATTTAGCTGCTGCTGCTTTCAGAGGGAAACGATACCTCAAGGAAACTTGCTGATCTGAGCTATCAATGGGATTAATGCACCTAAATTGCCCACCTGTTTTTTAGAATGGAAATAATTATATTAATTCCACCCTAGCACCTAACCTTTCTGCTACTGAAGTCAACGCTGAGGATCCGTTGAATTCTATGGTGTGGGATCAAACCAGTAAATTGGACAACTCCTCCAACAGGAAATCATATGTGGCCAGAAAAGAAAATAGTAATGAATACTATGTTGATGTTTTCAGGCCTCAGAAAATTTTCAGTGTTTGTTTTGGATATGGCTGTCCATATGTGAGAGAGTGCTACCAGCTATATTGTCTTTTCCTGCATCTGTCTCTGTGTGGCACTGGTGCACTTTGAGAGATTCTTGAAGATGAACTGAAGATGAGGGATTTTGATGGATTCAACTGCTGTGCAGACGTTTGTATACTATTGTCATTCCATTTTACTCAGTGCATTCCAAAACCCTGCAAAAGTGCTGAATAGTCCTGACACACCATTTATACAGTATGCACATTCATATTTCTATTATACCCAGCCAAACCAATTATAATCTTCTGCTACTGTTGTTTTATTGACTGAATTATGTAAAAGCTTTTCTTACAAATTGTTTCATGACTTTTGCAGTTTGCAAGAAGCAAATTCTTCATCCAGAACCCTGAAAAGTAACAGTAGCATCTCACACCACAGACATGCATGTGCAAGGCAGCCTATATTCTCCTCTCTTGTATGAGTCAAAGAGCAATCTGTTTTTTCAACACTTTCAGAAAACGCAGAAAGTCTAGCCTGTCTACCACACTGAGATCTTTATGTATTCTATATACTTTTTATACTTTATATATAAAATATCTTTTTAATATATTTTTAAAATATTCCTGCCTAAGTATATAGGCAGAAGGGGCACCCAGAGTGACAATTCTTTTGCAAAGAACTAGTGCAAGACATGCACTGTTTGAGCTGTCAGAAGAGGTTTTAAGTGGCCATTAAACAATGGCTTGTAACAGCATTCTTCATAGAGTTGAATTTAACCCCAAACTGTATCTGCATTGACTATCTAGTTTCAGCAGAGTGCCACCCAAGTAGAAGAGGATTCAGAGAATAACTGGAGTTCTACTGTTTTCCTGCATTCAAATACTAAAGTAATGCAAATACTGGTGCAAATAAACTGGAGATCGTGAGGTGGGACCTATTTACCTGGCCTTGAGAAAAGAAGGGTGATTTTAAAACTGCGCTGTAGGAAAGAAAGGATTGCACTATGATCTGCATGACCTAAAATGACTAATTAAAGATAAGCAAAACTATTTAGATCTTAATTTGGCAAATGGTTGTCACTACCGCACCCTCTAGTTTCCTAACCTGTTTACCTGGATGTAGAAATATTTCAAAACATTTCCTTTAGCATGTGATGCTGAAGCAGATGATACATATGAAAATCTCTCTTTTATGGGACTAGTGAGACCTGGTCTTTCTGCAACAGTTCTTTTTTTTCTTTCTTAACTACCCTTTAGGTCAGACATTTGACTTACTTTCACCAAAGTGATCTGTTATGTAGGAAAATATCTGGACTGTTTTAGCTACATGAAGTATTTTATATAAATCCTGTGTATAAGTTTAGTCTCAAGGATTGTACTGGAGTAGCACAAAGAAAGACTCATCAAAGAGGGTAAAAGACAAAATATTTAAAATTATCATAAAGACCTTAGAAAAAATAGAAATAAACCATTGGTTTTTAACAGTGAACATAGTAACGTTTGAATGAATTGGCAAGACAAATTCTCCATCTCTTGATTGGATGATTTTCTGAAAAATATACTTTGGATGAGCAGATAATTCTGGTTTCCTAGTTCAGATCTTGGACTGAATGTAAAATTGAATGCTTTGTGTTATGCAGGATGTCAACTCAGATAATCTGAAGGCTTCTTCTGGCCATAAACCTGTATATCTGTGCATCCATAATCACTGAACACCAGTGGCAACGCTTTCTTTCCCTTCTCACCAATTTTCCCAAGCTGTCTATAGCCTACAGGGAAGCTTTTTTTAAAGGAAGTAATTCAACTGATGGCCTGTGCAGGTTATCTGAAAGCTCATCATTTTCTTTCTACTGCTGGAGGGTCAATTACAACTGGCTGAACTGCTCCATATTCATTAGACTGGCCATGAAGAGGGAACAGCGTGTGTTCTTTTTGCCGTATCTACTGTCAGAGCAGGGAAGCAAGAATACAAAATGTCTCTTGACATCACCCGCTAGGTGAGCTTGGACAAGTCACTTTTTCATCTCTTTGTCTGCATTTCCCTTCATGCCTTTGTGCCCTGTAAATTCTTTGGGGTACACAGTGCAGGTGAAAAACCCAAGAAAAGCTCTCAGCAGGGCCATAGGAAGAGATCATACCTACCCTGCCTTAAATCTCAGCTGAATCTGCTGGATCCTTCTGCAATAGTCTGTAAAAAACGTACAGTTACAGTGAAACTACATTGTCCTGTGTTTGTTGCCAGGCTTCCTCCTGGCTCAGCCAGAAAGCTGCCATGTTGGCTAAAGATTCAGGCGTCCTGTAACCGACTTGTGCAAGATTTAGGATTTAGCTTCTGGTGGTGTGGCGCATCCCTCTGTTAATTAAAAGCACATGAACACATAAGGAATGCAACTTTTCAAATGCGAACTTCATGTAATTATGAAAGCAGTAGGAGATAAGAATAATTGTTTTCATTTCCAGATGTCCTGTCTTCTTCAGCACTGCAGGAAGATTAAGTGAAAGTCGAGTAGGGGAATAAGAAAGTTCAAATGCACAGCAGGATAACTGATGTTGACCAAAGTACTGGTAGGATCTAATGGAGTTCAAAGAAAATTCCTTTCCATATTCCTAGTCACCAAAGAGGTTTGTCACTATCATTATAAGCACATCCATTTTGTGAGCCTGATTACACACTGAGTGGGTGGTTTGCATAGCTATCAACCAACAGGGCTGAACTCCTTTGTGCTGTAAACTGCTTTAATGAGAGGGGAGCTACAGCATTTTATGTGAAATGATTTGGTTCTCTGGTTTAACTGGCTTTGTTAAGGACTCCATTCCCCATCACAAAACACATACACTGCATGACATGATAAGAAGAATTTATAACATATTAAACATGTTGAAAGAGTGCTTTCTAAAACTTCCAGTAAATGCAATCAACTGGTGTGTTGTGTCCGTGTGTGGGCTTAGGGATGAAATAAAGGAAAATTCAGTAGAGAGTTAGAGAAAAGGCAAGAAAAACTAATTGAATAGGGAGTCCACAATGGCTGTACTTTGCCAGATTAATGAGTCACTGTTTGCTGTGCTGTTAAGGCCCAGGAGACTGTTAGAAACTCAAAGGAAGCCATGAAGTATTGCAAGTGTGTCTTAGTGGGCAAAGCAACAGCATTGCTCAATTTAGGAGTAAAAACTCCGCTCCCTCAATAGGCTGCATGAGTTCCAGAGTCACACAGGCTTCTTGCTTATTGTCCCAGCCACTGGGGCTGCACCTCCTCAAGCAGCTGTGTTAAGGCCATGGGGAGGAGATTTTGTCATTTAGGGCAGGCCTGAAAGGGGAACTATGTAGCACTTAAGCATGACAGTCCAACATTGTGAACCTGTAACCCCTCACTGCAGCTGTTGCTCGGTCCTGAAGTTTCCTCAGCTGTTTGCACTGAATTTCTACAGGTGCCAAACGTGCTGCTTCGGGTATGTTTGGTGCTTCTTTCTTTATATCCTTGGAGAGTCATGCTCAGAACTCAGCAGGACCTTAAAAGGCAGAGGTAGTCAGTCACCCCGTTTTTAAAAGGCCAGAGGGGTGGTGCCCATGTTGTATTAGACCCTTGTGTGCCTGAGAGCCCCCACCCTTCTAGAGGAGATGCCACTGATCTCTCAGCACTAGAGACATCATTCCCATCACTTTTCATGGCAGCTTTTTTGCTTCACAAAAAGGAATTGCAATTGCACCGGGTCTAGAAGAGAGTGTGACTTTCTAGCCTGTTGTTAGGGCATTTATTCCTACAGAAACACGTGAATTCTAAGCCCGGCTTCAAGGCTTGTTTATGTGTACTTCAGACTAGTTTCTCAAAAATCAGTATTGGGAGTTGTTTTATGCAATACTTGCAGTATTTTATGTAATGTTTTCAGTAATAAACTTGGCATGAAAAAGTAAGAATGTACTAGGGAAACTGTTGATGGTGTAAGCATGGGAGGGAGGTCCTCTATCAACATTGGAGGACCAAATACTACACTGGAAGGACTACAGAGGGATTGATGTAATAGGAGTGGGGTGAAATTTAGGTCATGCACATATGTGCTAACAGCAAGAATTTCTAATATAAAGTGATAAATGGAACTGATACTGGAGAAAAATCCAGATATACTGAACAACCTGAGGATAATCATGAAATGTCAATATTTCAGTTATGAAATGTCAATATTTCTGGTAGACACAGGAAAATACTTGCAATTCCATGCAGAATAGTGGTAATGCCACATCCGAAAAAATTATGATGGGAAATAAGGCTGATGGAGTCTGATTTCTACCTCATAGACATTAGATGGTTAATTGCCAAAAGAAGGAAGATCTATTTCAGCCAAAGGCTTGTCTATCCGTGTATAATTGCCTATGAGTACATGCAGCTAGAAAAAAGATTGAGGTTCCTAGATACCAGCAGAATAAGGCTCATGGCCTTTCAACAGGAGGAGTCGGAAACGCCGCTGGTTTGAGGTAGAACTTGTCAAGTTTAATAAAGATATTACCTGGCACTGCTGCCTGTACTAGAAAGGACTTGACTTAATGGCCCAAGAGATCCTCTCTAATGACAGTTCCCCTCAGATCCAGTTTGCTTGTCATTTCTGCTGAAATGCCGATGTATTTGGAGAGAACATTTGCAAATGGGGAAAAAATGCCAGTTTCTTGTATGAAGCTGTGGAGCTCTTCCAGAACCCCCTGGCTGATTTGGCTGGAGGAGATGAACCCTTGGCAGGATTTCCATCACTGGGGAGTTCTTAATGATGCATAAGGTGAAATCCTGGTCCCTGTAAAGCTGATGGAAGTTTTGCTATTAATTTCTGTGAGGCCAGGATTTCACCCTGGAAAGGGAGTCAAAAGTACAGGCATGCTTTCAGAGACAGAGCGGCTGATTAAATACATCTGGTGCGCTGCTCTTTTATCAATCATTGATAAAATAGAGCCTCTTAAATATAAACTTTGGGTAAGCTTAACTGCAAAATTCAAACATCCTTTTACAAGTCTAAAAAGCAAAATTTGTCTGCTTTTTGTCTGAAAAGAACAGAAATCATGGTAAAAAAATAACACACACCCATCCTCATCTGCTCCAAACTCCTGTAGTATTTGATGTTCTGCTGAAATGTGTAATTAAAGCACAGAAAAGCCAGTTAAAATATTTCTAGATGATACATAAAACTTTATCCTGTAAGGATGTCGTCCAAAACTATGTTCCTTCTCATTTAATTCCTGAGCAGCTAAACACCAGCTAGGGGTTCATCCGGATTTTGGCATGGACCGTGCTTTCCCCGGACCACCGGGCACTGCCACTTGGGACATCCCAGCGGGGCTGTGGTCAGGGAGGGAGCCCTGGCATCAGGGTGTGTTGCTATGGATGGGACCAGCGTGGTGATGCGCAGGAGGGCAGAGAGGGCTGGAAAATACTCTCCCAGGCCCGGTGTGTGCCCTGGCACGGCCCGGGTGCGATGCAGGGGGCACACGCGTGTCCCCCCACCGGGCGCATCTCTGCCACGGGCATGAGAACCCTGCGGCGGCCAGCACCGCCGGCCCGGACGAGCCAAACCGCGGAGGGCAGGGCAAGGGAGGAGGCTGTCCCGGCCAGCCCGGCCTCTGAAGGACAGCCTTCCTCCCGGCCGCCCTCCCAAACCGGAGCGGGACCTTCCCCGGTGAGTGCCGCCCCGCCCGCCGCCGCTCCCGCCGCTGAATTTGCTCCGGTCCCTTAATTGTTTCGCTCTCACCAAGAACTTTGTTTACAGTCCCTTGTGCAGGGAGCTGCATCCCCCTCTTATGCTTGCTCCGGGCGAGTGTCCGCCGCAGTCCCGTCCGGCGGTCGGGAGGTAAGGCACGGCTCCGCTCGGAACGCTATACTATATACTATACTATGCTATACTATACCATACCATGGACTGGCACGGCTCAGCCCCGCACGGCACGACTCTGCACGGCACGGCTTGGCTAGCAGCCGCTCGACCCGCACGCCCGGCGGCCGCGCCCCCGCCGGTTCTCGGTGGCCGCGGAGCTCCGGTCCCGCTACGGCAGCGCCCGGCTCCCCGCGCCGGCGGGCGGGCTGGGCTTGCTCGGGCACTGCGGGGGAAGCCTCTCCGCTCCGGCCGGCGGGTCCTGAGGCGGTTCCCAGCACCGCTCCCTCCGGTGTGGCGGATTTTGCCGGGGGATGAAGTATTAACGGTCACAAGCTTGGGGGTCTCCGCCGTCGGAGCTGCTCCCGCGTTGCAGGTCGGGTCGTGCCCCCGCGAAGTTGTGCCTCTTCGTTACCGGCGGGCTGTAAAGCAGCGGGCGGGCGTGCAGCTTTCCGTGCCCGTTCGCCTCTTTTCTCTCTGGCATAGGTGTTCGGGGACCGGCGTGACACGCAGGGTTTTACCCTGGGTGCGTGTGGCGCCTTAACAGAGGCGTTTGAAAGTTTTGCGATTTGCAGATAACTAAGTTTGGTCGCGGAGGGGTTGGGTTGGCTCCCATCCTCCCCTCCGACTGTGTCTGAAAAACGAAAAAGGTGTGAGAGCTTCAATCTGGTAGTTCTTCTACCTAAAAACTTGGTGGTGGAAACTTAGAGCATCCTGAGGCTTCCAGTCGGCATGGGTGTAATGTGTTCTTCTCCTACCCTGGAGTTCAGGGCCTGATCCTGGAGCCTTCTAACTACAAATTCTACTTCTGTGTTTCCAGGAGTGTTCACGTGGGGAAGAGCTGTGGGATTGTGTTCAGGATTACTATAGTCTGTTGAATTCCAAATGAACTCTGGCGCTTCTCTTAGTACAGGGTTCTTTATGCTGTTTTCCGTTTAATGCAAAACCAAGTGTGAAGCGTGAGCGTGAATTGGAATTTTATGGAAGCAAAAAAGGGTGTCTGAAATATTATGCAAGATACAGAGAATCAGGTCCAGAGCCTGAAGGCAGAAAATTTAAACTTAGTGTTTCTGAGTAAAATGCAAAAAAGGGGAAAGGATTGTAGTGGCTGAGAAATACCAGCTCTTTGCACTTGCACAGAGATATTCAGTATGTGGGAAGCCTCAGAAAGCACCAATTGAAATGATTCAGATCAAAATGTTGGAAGCTTAATGTATAGATTTCATGTTTCTGCTTTTCAGCTTTGTGGTGAGGGGGAGAAGGAGAGATCTATAAGAAGTTGCTCTGTCAGTCAGGTTTTTTAATAAAGACATTCATTTAAAAAAAATTACCTGAACTGTATGTAGTCAACAACAAATACACATAAATTACTGACAGAGCAATAAATCTTTTCAAAGACTGATGCTAGCAGAGTGGCTTAGGGGGCACAATTGCCTTAGCTTTTAAACAAAAATAACCATTCTTGTAATATGAGTGGAAGTTGACTACAGGACAATTTCAGAGGTCTGCTTTTGTTTTAATGTAATCTAGATTATTTTTCTGAAGTGGGGCTGTTTTCTGCGTTTCCCTCCAAACTTTTCAAAAAGTTCAACTAATTGCTAGGTAGTGTGCACAAGAATATAGTCAAGGAGATAAGCAAGGAGACTTCTTTATTATTAGCTTACTTCAATAATTGGCTAAATATACTTTAGCTATGTCAGAGGCTTATTCCAAGGATCATCTAGAGAAGAACAGCAGCAGTTTGTGCATGTAAATGTTTGTGAAATGTTAGCATGGTCAAAATAACTTAAAAAGAGAAAAAAACATCAAAGTTTATCATTATATCAATTTATTCTCATGAATTTATTCTCATCCCCACTTAGGACTCCTGCTTCAGTGTCGAAATGATCTTCCATAATCATGCACATATAGAAAGGGAATGTTGAATAAGATTAGCAACATAAATCTCTGCTGCTTCATAAGTTTTACCCAGCTGCTTGGTGATTTCACGGCTGCTTCTGCAGTTGATAACAATTTCCATCGCTCTGCTTTCTGCAAGTTGTCGCACTGCTCTGCTACAGATTCTGCTGTGTCCCTATTTGAGTTATGAATCTTGTTTTAAAACATCCAATAACAGAAATGAACAGTAGTAAATATAATGGAGTTACATTTATTACAGTGAGCTCTTGGACTCCATTAGTTTGCCTTTATTTTTTTTTTCTGAGAAGAGTTTTCAGGATTAGATTACTTAGGTTTTGTTATAGGATAATAGATTTAAAAGGGTTTTTTAATGGGAAGCATGTTGTCACTCAATTTACAGCTAGGAAAATGAAGGCACAGGGAGATGAAGTGATTTGCTCAAAGAAACTGGAGACAAAGAGAAAACACCCCAAGTAGTCATGGTTCACACAGGTGAAGTGAGCAATAGAAATTAAGTTAAATGAGATTTTTAACTACAGAAACTGATGAGCTTTACCTTTTCCTGCCTAGCTTGTTCTGGACTACTTGCCTGGGTTGTGACACTCATCATTGAGACGTCACATCATCAAAGGAAAATGTTACATAGGGCCAGAAATGGGTGGCTGCTGCCAAGAAAAGAGGCAGAAACCACTAGGAGAGCCAGAGGGATAACATCTCCCGCTTTGGTTAGATTAGGAGCAGGAGTCAGCACTCCCATGGAAAAGATGGGATCTTTTCCATTCAGGAGTTTTGTTCTTTAGAAGCTGATAAATGTCCAACAACTTTTCTTGTAGGAAACTTCCATGCTAGAATATTGTCACCTCCAGTTCATCATTCAGCAACATCTGACACTTCAAAGCCTGGAGCGGCTCTTTCTGCTGCATGACTCTGCCTTGAATTGACATACGAGACATCTGAAGCCATCCTCTGCTTCCTGAGCCAAGGGATTTGTTACGATGCATTTCTCATGGACCTGGTAGGTGTGCATGCTGATGGATTTCATGTCTTTTCAGTAAATCTCAAATTAGACTTAGTGGGTAAAACATTCCTCTCCCTTTTATCCAGTGTTAGCCACAGATTCCCACATTCTTCCTCCAAGTCCAAGTAGTTCCTTGAGACAGTATTTCCAGTATGATTAGTGGGAGGATGCTGGTGTTGCTGGGTATCTTTGCCTAAATTTCTTACCCTGAAACTTGAACCAAGTCACCTGTTGGCGTAAGTCAGAAGTGACTTTGCTAGCGATGAGGATCTAGCACCCTATTTTTTAGGGCTGAGTACCTTTACTCACACTTCAAATAGGTTCTGTTGTTTATTTAACTGACAGTATTTCAATAGAGGATTGTTTATTTGTTTTATATGAATGCCTCTCTCCTTACATCCTATTACAGGCAAGAACTGTGCTCCTCAGAAGTCAACACTAATTTTGGTAGTTTAGGAGATTATTTTTTTTAAACTTCATGTTAGTTTTGACTATATAAATACATCTTCTTTCTTCATAAATCTCTATACAAGATGTCCAAGAGATTAAATGCTCATTGGGGATGTGTCTGAAGTAGAGGGACAAGGTCTCTAGAGACAGGAGTAAATATACTTAGATTGAATGTTAAAGTTTTTCAGAATAATCGTGTTTATTATAAGCCCAATTCAGAGCCTTTTCAAGTTTCCCTATTCCCATCACTGTTAGAGAGAGTATTTTGACTTTTGGAATTAAGAGCCCCTTTATATAGAAAATGGTTAATTTTTTTCCTCCCTCAAATTTGATAATAAAATGTTGAACAAATTGAGTAGGCCTAATGATAAGATCAAAAAAAGAGTGACATTTGAGGACCACATTCTTCTGTTGTGCTGAACTTCTGTAACATTTAGTGGATAAGTAATTCATATCTAAGATGTCAGCACAAATATATTTGCTTTGTCTGATAAGCACTGTTCAGATCCCCGTCCTGCCCTTGGAGATACCCAATACCTTCACAGAAGCACAGAATCACAGAATGGTTGTGGTTGGAAGGGACCTCTCGAGGTCAAGCAGGGTCACCTAAAGAAGTCTGCCTAGGACTTTCCAGATGGCTTTTAAATATCTCCAAGGATGGAGACTCCAAAACCTCCTTGGGCAACCTGTGCCAGTGCTCAGTCACCCTCACAGTATAAAAGTGTTTCCTGATGTTCAGAGAGAACCTCCTGTGGGTCAGTTTGTGCCCATTTCCTCTTGTGTTGTCAGTGTGTGTGCTCGGTGTGCGCTCACTCCTGTTGTGCTCAGCGTTGTCATTAAGGAGGGAAAAGCTACTCTCTCTTGTAGCTGCTGCACCCCTGGCAGGACTGAGCCCTGAAGGTAATTATATACAGCAAGATAAAATATTGAGCAGAGCTCTCTTCCTTAGAGCAGTAGAACAAAAGCTTTGTCAAATCAAATCTGAACTTTCATTAGGGTTCAAGGAAACTCAGAGACAAGCTCTGTGACTAGATACAGAGTATAGCCTGTTTGTGTGGGTGTTTGAAAATAGTGAAATGCTTTTTTTCGCAAAACACACGGTCAGTTGTATGAGGTACTGAGATACAAAACCAAGGGCTCTCCACAATGGATGAATATATCTTAGCAACAAGGGTGGGAGTGGTGGGAAAGGAAAAGGAGAATACAAGTATCTGGCAATTAACTTCCTAGTCACAGATGTGAAGGTGATAAAAGTGATAAAAGCATTACTGCATTGCCAACGCTCTTCCTTGTTCTCTGAGCTGCCTATCACGCTGCTCATAAGAGCAAAAGCTACACAGCTCACACCAGAGAGTGGTGGAGGAGTCCTGTGAGCTACTCGCAGCAGGAAAACCTGGTGGTTACCCAGTGTCCCAGTCTCTGTTGTGTGTGGTGGCACGCACTGGGCACACAGCCTGGTCCAAGGCAGCGGAGCCGTGGTAGCCTCAGCACTGTCAGAGGTTCACTGCAGACTCCAGGGTGGCACCACCACCACCAGAGTCCCAGTGAGATGTCCGAGGTCTGTCACGGCAGCCTGTAGCAGTGGTGAGCCATGGGCTTGTCTTGCCCTGATGAGGTGGACTCCAGTTGTGCACTGGGCTCCATGGAGCCAAAAGCTATTTTGCCTCATAATGCAGCTGCAATCAAACTGCACACACTGTCTATAGGACTGAGAATGTGTGTACCGTATGGAGACAGGAGGAAGGCAACCCACGGTAACTAACATGAGTGAATGTAACTGTAGATCTCCCTCCCACACAGTAACATGGATGTGATTTCATGGACTTACAAGGGACCCACTGCTTTTGCATTAAGAATAAAGCTTGTGCATAAATTCTTGCAGAGTCAGAACGTCTGCTTGTTTGCAATCCCAAGTGGGATGTTTCTGTGTCACCCATTTGTCCCATAATGGTAATGCTGCTTATCTCAACTCATGCTCTTGTCTCCACAGTGCAGTGTGTGTTCAGCAGAGCCTGCTCTAGCCTAAGAACTGAAGAAGTCAAGACAATCAAGATGACCAGCGAACCTATTAAAGAGATCCTGGGTGCTCCAAAGCATCCTGACTCTGTAACCACGGAGAAGAGTAATAACAATGACTGTGTGATAACCACCATCCCTCTCGTCAGTGAATGCCAGCTGACGGCAGCAACAGGGGGAGCAGAACTCTCCTGCTACCGCTGTACCGTCCCCTTTGGTGTGGTGATCCTCATAGCTGGCATTGTGGTTACTGCTGTGGCCTACAGCTTCAATTCCCATGGATCCATCATCTCCGTGTTCGGATTAGTCCTCTTGTCATCAGGACTCCTTTTGCTGGCTTCTAGTGCAGTGTGCTGGAAAATCAGGCAGCAAAACAAGAAAGCAAAGAGGCGGGAGAGCCAGACAGCGCTTGTGGCAAATCAGCGAACCCTGTTTGGTTAAAGACAAGCAAGAGAAGGCTGGACAGAAGACAGAACCTTTGTAAGTCAACTTGACTATTTATCAATAGGAGAGATTGCAGGTTTTAATTTAACTTTGGAAGTGAACTGAAATGAAAATGGAATGGATTAAGAAATAACGCTTAAAAACTCTGCAAGTGCTCTTAATATTTTTTTTACTGCAGACTTAGTAGTGATTCTTTCCAAGACAGAGGAAAAAACACTTTTCCTTCACAGAAAACAGTGGCGTCATGACTGCAATCATCGTAACTGCGTTCTCCAACCATGCCGATCATATTGGAAAGGGAACTTGTGAGAACTAAGAAAATAATTTGAACTGATTTGAAATGCTAGAGATCTCCTTAAAATACATACTGTGACATTTGACGAAGGGAGAAGTCATAACATTTGAAATGACTACAAGCTTACAGCCAGGTTGTTTGTGACATAAATTGTAGCTCAAAAAAAAAAAAAAAGGCAATAACAACCGAACACACTGCAGATTGCTCAATAAGCTGATTCTTATATTTTACGTAACTTTCCCCTCCCAATATCTGTGGTACTTTCCCCCTTTTTTAAACCAACTAATATTAATTTTGTTTTACTATTGAATAGAAATAGGTAGAAATGTGTAATTATATTGTCTAACCTAAATAACGAGGTATGATTATAGCTTAAAACATGAGACAATTTTTTGTAAATTAAAGTGGTCAGGTTTAGCACTTTTGATTATTTTGCTATAAAATTAAAGAGTAAATGTCATTAAAATAATACTTAGTGCTGCTAGACCTTTAGAAAATCTTTTTTTATTGCTATCAAGATAGCTTGTATCTTCAACTTTGACTGCTTTATGATTCTATTTTTGTAGAACAGCACCTGTGACAATAACTGTGAACATACGTACTGCTGATCTCTTCCAAAAATCTTTGTAGACTATGGATTTTGGTTTGACAGCCCATCCTTTCTGCAGCTTGAAAAATCATTAATGGTCAGTTCTGCAGACACTACTGGCATAGTCAGTTTTAGACACAACTATTAATAATTGCTTGTGGAAGCAAAGTCATCAGTGTACTAAGTGTTTGCTGAATGAGCTTTGGGATTATGAATCTTTATGAAAAGCAGGTGCTATGTGTCCCCTGTGTGTGTCTGAGATGTTTGATTCTGTAACTCTTGTTACAGAGGTCTCCCAGTTTTTCTCAGGTAATGAATAACTGAGGGGCTGATCCCAAATTGAAGCAAACCAGAACATTGTTTCTTCATCGATATCTTCAAGAACAAGTGATGCTGAGCCAAGTCACAGACATCCACCTCAGCCTATATGAGGGTGTCAGAAGGCAGAGGGCCTGCATGGAGTCGCTTTCTTTTTTTATTTTTTTCTTTTTTTTTTTTTTTTTCTCTCCCAGCTTATTTTCTCCAGACTCAGAAGGCTTGGTCGGACATGATTTTTGTTCCTACTGCTGCAGCAAGCAAGGCCTGTGGTAGTGTGTCTCCTCTTTGCCCTCAGGAGCCTCTGGCATCCTCAAAGCTGTGGTGATGGGGCTGCAGAGCACACCTGCCCGACAGGTGCTGGCAGGAGACAGCCTTCTGCAGGTCATCCCCCAGCCCTGTGCTTCTCCTGCTGAAATCACCCAGGCATTCCGGCTTAGGTGCCACCTTTTCCCCTGCCCTCCATGGTTTAAGCTTGTTACATCCATAACTTATCCCCGGATTTGCAAAGTGCACTTCGTGTTTTAAATAGAGCAAGCTATATGTACGGGAGGGGATGTTTGGAGGCAGTATTTGCGTTGCCATACTCCGTGGTTACCAGACGCTATAATAAAATCACTTGCATCAGAGGAAAGCTGACAACACATTTTAGCACTTCCATAGCCCTAACTTAATCATGGCAGGAAGCTTTCCTGCTGCTAGGAGAACATGTTGCGTCACCAGAACATCTGACACCGGTGTCTAATGTCAATCACTTTGCTTAAGGTCATTAAAAATATTAGGGTGTCCCCTTACGATGTACAGGTTTTGCATGAGTGACAATTCATGGGAAATGCATAGCATGATAAATAATGGAACAGGTGGACTAAAGTGGTGTCTTTCCTGTTTAAAATGAGAAAAGTGATTGACATTAGCAAAGCTGGATAAGCTAAATAGGGCTGTTTATTTCCCCCCCGCCGGGAACACAATAGTTTTTCTGACTCCTTCCCTCTGCCTGTTTCTTTTTCCTCAGTGGAATTTTGCAGGCTGCTGAGGAGAGGATTGCAGGGGCTATAGAGATGCAGTGATTTCCACTACACGTGTAGCAGCTCAGCCCTGTGATTCCAGGCTGAGCCCAGAGCAGAAACAGCCTGTTCCCCTCTTCAGAAGTCCTTCCTGTGCACGGGTCCTCCCTTGGCCATTGCTGTGATACAGGCGAGCTTGCCTGCAGCGTGTGGAAAGAAAGTAGAGGTGCAAGGTGAGGCTCTGCTCCAAGTCAAAAAAGAAAAGGCCAAACTCAGTGGAACAGAGGCAGTGGGGTTTTGGGAGCAGTTTTATTCAGGAAGGGTAGATAAAAGTGAGTGAGAGTTGCTCAGCTACTACTAGAGGAGATTTCCTTTCCCTTATCTCTGCTCTCTTTTATATTTGTACTGCATATGCAAGGACACAGCAGAGTGCCTGCGCCACCCTCTGCCTTGCTAATTGTGGGCCATCTAGGCATTAAGCAGCCTGTGAGCAGTGACAGACAGCATTGTGGTGACCGTGGGCATGATCCCCAGCACAGCAAAGCTTCACATATAACATGGTGTCCTATGATACCAGTGAACTGGCAGGTTGAGAGGCCTCTAGGCTCAACTGAGGGGCTGCCATAGCACACACTGTGGAGCTCAGTAGCATCAAGTGTGTCCTAGTGAGACAAGACACATGCACAAGCATCTTCATGTCAAGCAGTGAGCAAAAGTCTGTGCAGAAGTTGATTTTTGGGACAATCTGAAGTAGTAGTAGCATCTTTTCTGAATGACCAGTGATAACATCCAGCACAAGCCTCACGGGGTATGTTTCTTCTTCCTGCAAATCTACATATTACAGACATTTTCATTACTATCCTTTCTCTCTGCGCCCCTTGTCCTGGTTCCAACACAAGAAGAATACATTCTTTTTATCCCTTAAAAAACAATCATTCTGGGAGAGTTGCTCTGTGAGTACCGTGTGACAGGCTTAGCACCTACCTTTTTCCAGAAACTGGTTATATGTTTTTTCAGCGGGCACATTTGCAATGCTTTTACAAGGGTCAAACACCTAAAACCAGTCAGGTACAAACAAAAAAATTTCTGCTTCAGCTTTTGAACCCCATGACCTTGTCTGGGTTGATTTGGGGTTTCATGCCTGGATGCTGGGTCATGCGATCCACCGAGTCTTTGATACGAAGCCATTTGGAACTCCACAATTGCTGTTTGGTGTTTCTCATGGGAACCTGAGAGGCAAAAGTCAGCCTGGAGGATGCAACCCTGTGGAGATCACAATGACTTCCCAGTTGAGAAACACCTTCCCTTCTGGTGTGAAAATGCTTTGAACGCGGCAAATGGTATTTTGGTTCTGGGAGAGGTTGGGTGGGAGCTGATGCAAATTTTATTGTCACAATTGCTTGTCTCTCCCTTCCTGAAAGCTCTGGCAGCATTGCGCAAGCAAAATTGCCCTCACAAGGATAGAAAATTATCTAATAGGGGAATTGCGCTGGTGCACCGGGCAAATGTTACGGGGATCTTAAATAATAATTTCGAAACCTAAGCACAGGAAATTGTGTCTGTAACTACACCCTGTATTGCTATTGTACACAAAGGCAGTTATAGCCTGGGACAGTATTTTAAAATAATAATCAGTTTGGTATGACAATGCCTAGTATTTGTTCAAGTCAAAACGCCCAATTTACGATTCCCCAGTCACTCAACATATCATGTTTTGTACGTGACTGTGCCTCTAATGCCATAATTTGCTAGGTTTAAAACAAAAAAAAAAACAAAAAAAAAAAAAAACCAAAACAAAAAAAGAGAGAGGAAGGTTACTTTTGTGTACTTAGGTCAAGAATTAAGTTTTTCTGCCTTGGACACATGGGAGAGGTCCTGTTACCAAACAATGAATGTACAATATTACTGCAGCTCTACAGAACAGGAACCAGGCTCAGAGTACGGAATGAAGAAAGGCCTGAGAGTCTCATCAAGATCCAGAAGGGTCAGGCCAGGAACAAGCCCTCTGGAATATCCCATATTCTTGCCTCAGTTTTGCTTATCCAGTCAAAGTTCAGGGCTTCTGCTCCTTTAATATCTGAGATGGAGGTTGTTGCATATTATTAGCAGGTTTCACCTAATTTGTTTTCACAATGGGCTCAAAATTAGAGCAGAATGATATTAGCAGCCATCATTTTGCATATGTATTTCAAAACACCTCTGATGCCTTTAGATAGTAGGATGTTTTGGCTATATCAGTACAAATCTTTGTCAATTCCAAAGGGCTTTTATACATAAAAGTGCTGTAACATATCAAGAATTGCACTGTATGATGTAAAAAACGATATAAATCCTGGCAAAACTCTATGTGTAGACTAAATCTTGCAGGCTAAACCATATGGGAGAACAATGGTCTTAAACTGCAGAATCAACTTGAATTTTTGGCTTTTTTTCAGGTTGTTGATGTCACTATTAACATGACAGAGGACCTAATCCTTCCTCTTGTGAGCAGCCAGTTGGAGTCCTATTGTCCTAACTCAGTGCACCCAAAAATTTGCATTTATGGCAAACGTGGCATTTTTGAAAAACTTCTGATTTCTTTCATTTCTTAACTCTTCTGTGCTTTCTAGAGTAAGAGAAAAAAGGTATTAAACTTTAAAAATGGAGGAAGAAAGAAGGGAGGAAAGACAGAGAAGAGCACACAACAACAAATGTTGGACGCTGCGTAAAGTCATGGAGGGATAGCTTTACATAAGTGCCTTGTTGGAAGACAGAGACTTTTAAAAATATGTAAGTTTTGTTTCTGCTACAGCCTTGGCTGTATCCTTGGTTTCATTCTTACAAAATGCCTGAAGTCCCCAGGCTAACGTCAGTCTTAGATCTTACCTCATACTTCTTCTCCCTTTCTGTTTCCCAGGAACCAGTTAGCTCAGCAAAAGACAGAAGTTTAATGTCTTACCATCATTTGCAGTCTGACTGAAATTAAAATGGCCATTTGGGATTTGCAGAAGCAGTGCCCCCATGGTTTTGTAAGTTACAAGGCATTCAGCCGCAGTCTAGTCTTGAAGAGGAAGGCACTATAGAGAGGTAAAGATTTCTGTACTGCAGCAGGAGGTGTCAGTGAAAAAAAAAAAAAGTAAATAACAGCAGAGCAGCCCTCCACCACCTCTTCTCAGCCACATTCCCTTTCAACCTGAAGGCCTGAGTTTGTGAATAGAGTTAACAGTTTTCCTGGAAAACTGGCCCATGACATTATTTCCTTGTGAACTCCATCCACCTGTCATGTTAGGGCTTGGTGCGACGCCAGCACTGGCAGGAAATAATAGGCAGCAGGATGCTGGTGTGTGTCGATGGCCCTGACCCTCCCATTCCTGAACATGAATAAGCTTCGAGCTCACAAGGCGTCACAGCAGCGCGGCTTCTGGGCCCACAGAAACGCATGGGTGGGATGCACAGCCACTAAAATAACATCCAGCCGGCCCAGCCGCAGCAACAGAGCTGCATGGGAAGAGATGGTGTCACATTCTCGCTGCCTGCTGCTCTTTGTTCTTTCGCCTCTGCTCGGGGATAGTACAATGGCTGCT